CATGGGTGGAGGTGGAGATGGTGGGGACACTGGGAGATTCACAATGAAGCTTATTTGAGCTGGAATAGAGAAGTCATGGTCATGGTTACAATTAGTTGAGCCTTTAAAACTAGTAACTCTTATAGTGGAGCAACTGCTCATTCATAATGCAGCTTGCCAACACAACTAGGTACGAAGCCTTATTATAACATAACAAGTCTGACTGACAACAATGTAAATAGGTATAGTAACTCAACTTTAAAAAATAATAATAATCTCATTCATATTTTGCTGGCCTGATTGACATTAATGTACTGTAAGTAGGTATAGTAACTTAACATTTTATTATTATAACACTTTAGTGGAGAAGTAAGGTAGCCAATATATCAAACTGGTGATAAATTCTGTAATATTGCTAAGCAATGCCAAAGTCTGAAGATGAACAAAAATAGAAGAATAATAAATACTCTTATTGTCCGATAGTAATAATTCATATTCCAAAATATAATATTTTATATATTTATATATCTATATATATGAAGTGTGTAAAGAAATTATTTGAATAATATTCCACTATTAAATAATTAAATAACTGTTGGATATTATTGTGGTGTGCCCTTGATTTGGTGTGTTATTGCTTGATTTTTTTTAGACTCACAGCTCTTAGTATAATGAATAAAATCTCTTCCTTTGAGAGGGTTCTGATACAGTTAGCCTTTAGAGATATTCATTTCACTGCCAAATTAAAACAGACCAGGCCATGCGATGATGCATCTGACAACTGTTACAATGCATTTTTAGATATTGTAACTTTTTGTTGCACAAATATATAACCCATAGAACTATGTATGTTGCTATAGGAGTCTTAACAGCCTATAAACGTTATTGTAATTTGTAGCATTACAACAGAAAATAAGTAAAGTAATACGTTTTTAAAAAGTGAAGGATTTTAAATGGATAAGTTAATGATTGAAATGCATTATCATATTGTGTGTGATATTGTACATTACAGCTGTTATTCTTATAGGTTGTGGTAAAATTACAAACATTTTGCAGGGTCATTCAGAAATGTCTTTTGTGACTTTTTTTTAACAACATCAAGTGAAATGGCTATGCACAAATGTCATGTCAACACATGTTTATTTACCTAAGATGCTTTGCAATTTATGTAATGTATATAAGTTATATTTCCACATTTTGATGTTTTTGCTAATGCATTTGTAAGTTATCATGTTTTGCATTGGATTATTAAAGACTATGCAAGTCTGCTTGTTCAGAAAACCATCTCGTCTTGCTATCTTTACTCCATAGTGTTCCATTTTAAACCTCCTCATTAAAAATTCAAGTTCATTTCTAGGTAAAATTAATTTCTGAGTCCTCCTGGAAGTCTGAACAATTTGCAGGGTTCATTAATACAGTTGACAGCTGTAATTTTAAATGACATTGTGATCATACCTCTTTGTTACTCTGGTGTATGCAGTATAAAATAGTCCAGATGTAAGCTCCATCTGTTTCATCAATGCAGCACCTATAACCTTGAGTGCCTGCAGTTTTTCTTTAGCTTATCTGATTGTGGAGGATAAATGACATGAGATGTAACGGTGGTGTCAAGAGAGAGAAATCTGCATAATTATCTGCATCAGTCACTGTCTTGTTTGTTAAACAGAGAAATAATTTTCCCCTGCTGCCTCTCATCTGATTACCTAAGATTTAGGTTTGATATTACAGTATTTATGCTGTTTTTTCCGTGTAATAACAAAGTGAAATTGATCTGTGAGGGGTATGTTTTATTATGCTGATGACAGATTATTGTCTGAGCATACAGGAAGGGATGGGGGACTCACAGTGATGTTTTAGGTAGGCCGTTGATTGGTTGGACAGACAGTTCTCAAGCTTTAACTGGATTCTGCAGGGAGAGAGGGAGACAGAGTAAGTCAGAGCAAATCATTTCTGCTGCTGCCCAGAATAACCCAGAAAAAAAAGATAATAATCACGTGTATGACCAGTGGTTTAAACCCTTTAGGATTACCTCTAGATGTCTCAATCTGTTATATAGGTCTGTCTGACTACAGATGTGCTCAGCCCACAAACAGAATCTTGTACAAAAATCTAATTCTCCATTCTCCAAAAATGTGTTACAATTAAAATACAGTTAAACCAAGAGTTAAACTAATAATTTTATTAAGATGACAATAATCATTATATAAAACTAAAATTGTTGTAGCACATTTTACAAAAAAAAAAAAATCTACTTTAAAATATCGTGTTTAATTTAATGTCTTACTTGACATTTCTTTGTAATTATTTGTGGAATTTATTAGCAATTTCTGAGTGAAAATTATTTTTACACCATGTTTATTATTATCAAACGAATGTATTTGTGCAGTCAACATGATCCCATGGTCAAACAAAGTGTGATTACAGTATGTTCAGATCTCTCTGTTTTAGGCTCAAATGTGAGGAACTATTTGTGCCACCACTTTGACCAAAGTATTTGGCACTCATGCCTTTCGGCCACTAGGCGGAGCCAAAGAGAGACATAAATGAGACAATGGCCTGTACCTTTGCAAGTTTGCACAATTTAAAAGCTTTGAAACGGAAATATATCAGTTTACCCACACATCATTTGAAAATACTTATGATAAATGTTGGATAAAAGTTTTTTTTGTCAAATAATCTACACTGAATGAGGAAGTGGCAAAGTTAAGTATCTTTTCAGGCCCACTCTTTCACTGATGCACTGAGCACAGTAAGTATCTGAGCTTCAGGAGTATTGATGAGTTTGAAGAATAGGACAATAACATGGGCAAGATGCAGAGTGAGCTGATCCTAAATGCTGATTCTGTCAAAATCAAAATCAGAGTATTGGCAAGACCTAACAAAGCAAAATGAACAGCACACCGAAGAAAATTTATATTTATATATATATATATACACACACACATACATATATATTGTAAAGCATTTGCTAATTTAGTTGTTATAGCACAAAATGTAAAATATTAAAAAAGGGGTAAGATGGTCCCTACTGGAGTTGGCCCCCTACCCGGGTTGAAAAGCCTAAATGTGACAAAACGACAAAATTAAAAATAGTATAGGCATTCATACTGGGTCAGACAGGGGCCACTTATGCTTTTAAGGGGCACACTTTAGCATTTATCTTAAGGTACTTTCAGGATTATTTCAAGTCCTTTTTTCTGTCATGTAACACTACAATCTCTAGATGCTTAGGCAGAGAGTGAACCAACTCCAGGGTAAGGCTAAAAGTATCCAAGTGCAATCTATTAACTGCACACGTCATAAACCCGTCATTTTAGGCAAGTACCAGATATGGGTGTCAGGTCATAAAATATTTTTAATGAGGCTGAATTTGTATTTAACATGATCACAATTTAGTAAAAACATTGTAAGTATCGCAAAATATAGTGAATATAGTTAATTACAGCAGAATTATACAGGGTTACAGAAATTAAACAAGCAAAGAACATTAACATTATCAAAAAACATTATCACTGACTTCAGTCTAGAGCAAGTTTAAAGGGATAGTTCACCCAAAAATTAAAATTCTTTCATTAATTACTCACCCTCATGTCGTTTCAAACCCGTAAGACCTTCGTTCATCTTCGGAACACAAATTAAGATATTTTTGATGGAATTTGAGAGCTATCTGACCTATGCACTGGGATGCTCTGGGTCTGTGCCATGTGGCAAACACCATCTAAGCTGCCAGGGCATCATTGTCATCCTCCCATCACCATCCCTTTGCCACATCCTGCCATGATCCCCGCACTTTTGCCTCTCACCATCCCTACGCCATCTCCTTGTCCACCTCCAAAACCCCCTCCATCCCTCCCTATTCTGTTGCATTAACTTTATCATCTTCAGTCTTTGAAAAACAAAGTGCACAAGTGAATAGCTTATGTGTGTGCAGTCTTTTTTATGTATTTTTTTTCTTCAGAAAATTGCATTGTAATTTTTATTTATTCACTGATGTAAAATTCTGTACTTTTTTAGTAAGGCCGGTATAACTGAAATGTTCTACAAATGGAAAAGATAGCTCTGCCGTAGCTTTTCAGTCTTTTTTTATTTATGTTTTTTTATAATGTATTAAAATGTACTTGAGTATGTTTGTAGTAATACAAATATACTATAAACATACTTGTATACTTCATACAAGAATATACTTGTATTTCAAGTGCATTTTTAATACATTTAATTGTATGTTTTGTTTTGTTTTTCACCAAAGTATATATGCTGCTGTCCTTATTTAGTGTACTGTATGAATATTTGTAATGTACACAACAATATATAATACATTAAAGTTTTCTAGATATCAAGGTGTGTATGTGTGTGTATATACTGAAAAAAGCAGTTTTATAATATACTAGTAGTGTAATGCTAATGCATTTCCAGTGAGCTGAAATACAATTGAAATGTACTTGAAGTACATTAAAACGATGCTTCTAAATATACTCTAACTGTAGTTCATGATGTATTAAAAGGACATTTTAAACGTATTTTAAGAAATACAATTAAATTGCACTAAATATACTTAAAGTGGTTCCATTTTAACACAATTTCAATATATTAAATATATTACAAATAGATTAAAATCCAACTTAAACATATCTTGCAATACACGTAATATACTTAAAGTTCTTTCAAAATAATACATTTAATATGCACTTAGTATAGTATCATTTAAATATAGTAAGTATGTCTGAAAAAGCACAATTTAAATATATTTCTTTTTCACCTGGGCCCCTACATGTAAACTAGGATAACTTTAACTATGATAAACTGCAAGACATATTTAGTGTCTGTGAGATCTACAAGCTGAAGTGTATTACAGTGAAATACATTTTTCACAATGCATTGCATGTAAATAAATAAATGAAAAAGTGTTTAGCTTTATCTAAAGATGTCAATCCGCGTGATCGCTGTTGTGAGCGCATGTCTGCTCGCTCCATTCTCTCTCTTTCAGGTGTGACGTGAAGGCAATTAGCCCTCAGATTCTCAGAGAGGTCTGGTGAGAGACAGGCAGCGCCCGCTTATCACACGCGCACTCCTGCAAAACACCAGTCTTAATCTAAGACCAGACCTTTATTAACGTGGCGTCACTCCAATTAAAGCATCGCGGAACAACATGAATCTGCTCATACTGGCGACTCTTTTCTCGATGGTTTTGGCCGAAAAATCACCTCGGCTGAAATTCACCGTAACGGGTAAGATTGAATTTTTCTTCGGTGCAATAGTTTCAGTCTGCATATGGATTCTGTGGAGAGTTCTGGAAATTTCTCGTTCCCAGTCTCTGATGTTTATCCTTACTAAAGCAGAAATTGCTAATCTTATTTCCCCCCCGGGAAAACTAAAATTGCTGCGTAATAAGACTTCCAATTCCATTAGGATATAAGAAACAGAAGAAGTCAGATCACATTGTTAGTAAATGGAAGCAGGCCAAGATGGGGCACTGATTGCTTTACATTGCTGTTTTGAAAACAAAAACCGATTGAGGCTCATATGCACGTCATGACTTCACTTTATGACGTATATGTGGTATTAATCATGGTTTAGAGTTCATAAGCCTATATTAGACTACAATGATAAAAAATACAGTAAACGCAAAGCGTTAAGTACTGACAAATAGTGATGGAGCCAACATTTTAACTGAACATTTTAACCTAACCGAAGGTTCATACAAGGATGCTGGAAGGATTTTTGACTGTGCATCCATACTAACATATCTTTAAGACATGTTAGTAATGTTGTTCAAGAGCGAGTAGTCTGCTTGGGATGTATGAGTAAACAAGCTCCTGAATCTTCCTGGAGGCTACAGAATAAGTAATTTCTGAAATGACCATTCGCTTCCTAACTAAACCTGTAAATCTATTGAATGACGTTGTTGATTTTCAACGCAGTTTTCGTGTAGAATACGCTGCAAGTGGGTTTGATTCAAGAAAATCATAGGACGCAATCTACAGAGCTGCAATGCAGGTGCGCGAGCTAACTGGAATGATGGCACTGCAGCAACTGATGCATTTCCAAGACTCAGGGCACAACATGCGATGCAAGGAAAAACACACTCGCAGAAGAGAATAGCCCATGGAAAATTCCACGAAACCTACCACTATTATCTATTCCAAGCACGTCCACAGTCTTCAGTCTATGTCGATACTGCCAGTATGGGTCATGCGATTCACAAGTGTTTATTTGAAAACATTAACATGTCTCACAGTCATCGCCCTCAGTGTTACGTGATGCTACAACCACTCACAATCACAGATATGAGAAAGCAACGAGAAAACCAATATGAGTCTCCAGTGCGCTTGTAGGTTTTGACCGCCCACTTCAGCACCATGGACAACGACGCTTCCCCGAATCCTCAATTCAGCGCACGTATTCCCTGAAATCACGAAGGATGCGATGGCGGGACAAATAATCTCATAAACTAGAGTACTGTGCTATGGAAAACGACACCTTCGTATGCAAATTGAAACCGGATCAGACTGGTCTGCAGGCTTTTTCGACCTCGCCAGCCCCCGCTTCGAATAGCGAGTTATTGATTAAGATGAAATCTCTACCAGCGCAGACCGAGACAAACACCTTTGCAACATGTTAGTTTTATGAAATAATCACAAATCCCCGCTTTATAGAATGTAGTGGAAATAATTTATAGTTTTACATAACTGTTGCCCCGACAACCACATCTGACCGTTTTCTTCATTTAGGTCAGATGAAAAACACCCACTAAAGTGGCTTAGGCATTTGAATTAATCAATTTTGATCATTTAGATCTCAACTGATTGTGCTCCAAAACCCATTTTACCGTGAAAATCAACTAAAATCCCTTAAATAATATAGCATAATGGTTAACATACATTTAGTAAGTGCATAACACCCACAATATTCAAAATGATTTACAACAGGCAGAAAAGGAAAATCGATAGTCTTGTTAAAGGAATAGTTCACCCAAGATGTAGATGAGTTTTTCTTCATCTGAACAGATTTGGATAAATTTGACATTACATCACTTGCTCACCAATGGATCCTCTGCAGTGAATGGGTGCCGTCAGAATAAGAGTCCAAATAGCTGATAAGCATCACAATAATCCACAAGTAATGCACACAACATAAATTAACATTGGACTAAAAACCTGCATATTTTAATCCATCTTTAAGACATTTTTAACTTAAAAACCATTGCTTTCTCCAGTGAAGAAAATTGGTCTTGTCTGAGTCTGAAATATGCACAGATCAAATGTAAACAGTTCAAAACTATTTTAAACAAAGATGTTGGTGGATTTTAATTTGGGAGGACAACAGGTGATGCACTTTTTCACCGGATGAAGCATTATTATGGATTATGGACTAGTATTTTGCATAGAAGCATCTTAATGATGGATTTGTTTTTTACAAACATGCAACTTTTCAATTCACAGTTGACTCACTTTGATAACTGATGGACTGGATTATTTGTGGCTCATTGTTTTTATCAACTGTTTGAACTCTCTGAATTCTGACTGCACCCAGAGGATCCACTGGTGTAATGCTAAATGTTTCCAAATCTGTTCTGATGAAGTATCCAACTCATCTACATTTTTGATGGCCTGTGGGTGAGTAAATCTTTGGGGGAACTATTTCTTTAATATATACATTGGTTGCAACACTGTTTCAAATATTCAGTTAATATTAGCTTAGAGTTTGGATGCACAGCCTTTTATCTCAACAATAAAAGATACATGAAGCATTTAATGCATTTAAATGATCTCATATAAAAAGCTTATTTATTTTGCTATCCTAACTATACATATTTTTATGTCTAGTTGTATTTTATTATTTGCATTTTGCATAGTCCTTCCCTGTGACCCATTTTTGAATTGCAACCCTCCTGTTCAGAACCACTATTTTCGTAGTCACACATTTATTCATGCAGCATGTGAATATATACATTTAAAGACTGCCAAAAAATGTTTTATACACTGCATTTCTGTCAATTTCTCTAGAGTCACCTCGGTTTCGCTTCATGAAACCGGAGAACTACACAACGGTTTACCATCTACAGGAAACTGATGTCCTGTATGTGGGGGGCCAAGGGGTCATCTATAAGCTCACCTTCAGTGATAAAGGAGTGCATGACACACAGGTAGGGGAGCTGACACAATAACCTGGAGCCAAAGTAGATCTATCTCTGCTCTAAATCCTGACCTAGATAGCCGGTACGCAGTAAGTAGCAAAAATCTGCTATTATTTATGGAGCAGAACAATGCTTTATAATGGAGGCTCCCTGAAACGATTACTTGTGGTTGCATAAAAGCAAGCATTTCTTGCCAAGGAGGGATAGTTATGGTTTATTATTATTTTATTGTCACCATAAAATTTTATGACCTGTTTCTCACTGTAAGTATAGAATATAGCATTAACATGATGAGAAGAATTCATCGCTACATTATTATGTATGCAAGCCAGCATGATTTGTATGTTTTTGATGTGCTCACAGATCCATGCGGTAATGGATGAGAATGCAAAAGAGACGTGTGTCTCTAAATCACCAGCATGGAAGGTAAGAGAAACAATATTCTCAATCTCACAATATTCAGTCAATTCAGACCTCAAGTTGCTTGTGAGAATCGGATTATCTCGACTCATTTAAGCCTAGTGATTCAGTGCACTCACAAATCTAACCACAAGAAATGACTAGTGTCCAGTTATCCGTTTCTCATAAACCCTCTGAGTGAATTACACTCATCAGGTTTAGCTGGAGTAGAATAAATACAGAATTCTGAAACTGTAATCAGAACATTTGTGAACATGTTTCCCACACGCTCCTCATTATGCAAGCTGGAGCCTGGCTGGATTCACTGCTCTGGTTCAACATATACAGAAATAGTCATCCATGATGAGCAGGTCATCACTCAGAGTTGATTGAATGAGGCTATTTTTTAAGGGTAATGGCACAGACAGCCAACTGATGAGTGATGGGCTTCTTTAAATATCTAAATAAAGATGGTGGTTAGGAGTTGTTAAGTCAATCATTCTGAAAAACAAACTTGATTATGTTCACAAAATCCAGTTTAGTATAGACAAAAGTAAAAATGTCCACACTGGATGACATACTGTGTTTAACAACTATATCTATTTCTTTAATTTGTAATATATGATGTCTATATGTTTTGCATTGACACATATTGTGTTCTTTCATCTTTCTGTAGCAAGAGTGTGCTAATTTCATCACAGTAATTGAGAGAGTTGGTGATTCGTTCGTGGTGTGTGGGACAAGAGCAGGTGCTCCTAAATGTTGGCTCCTGGTAAGATGCCTTACCTGCCATTATATATGTGACTATCTCAGTCCTGAAGCAATTTAAACTCCATCTGTAAGCAAACCACAAAAGTGTTTAAGATTAAGATGTGTCTTTCTTTGTTAGTGTCTATATTTGTATGTATGCATTTGGCAAAGCAACTTAGACTGCCTTCAGAGGACACATTTAATCAATTCTTGCTTTCCTTGAGAATCAAACCCTTGACTTTGGTGTTGCCAGTGCAATGCTCAACTGTTTGAAACACAGGAAGGCCAAATTATCTACTATTCTGTAATTGCAGAAATGAAAAAAATGAAAAAACATGCACACCACAGCTGCTCAATGCAGACATTTCACATTCCTTTAATATCACAAATTGTTGTGAAGACACTTATCGAATGTAAGTTGTTTCAATCGCTTTAGCATTTTCTGTGGATTACAGGAAGGAGCAAAGGAAAATGAGACTAGTTTTCCCTGCGAGCTCAGCTGCTTTGGCAGAATTCAGGCTATTTATTTAACTGCTTCTGTATTATTGTGCACATTTTCATAACCTTAGTGTGTCCCTGCCGTGGGTGTGATTTATAACCCAACCATTTAACAGTTTCCTTAGGATGAAAACCAGACAGGATGGAAAGCAATACAATAAAATGAGAGTTTGACATCCTGAAATGTGGGACGCACATTTGGTGTATGAATAAGATTATGGAAAAAAGTTTAGCATATTTTCTACTAAAAAGTGGCCTGATTTCTCCAAGTGCTGCAGTGCCTATGCTGTTTTTTTAATGAAAAGCCTAAGAAGTAGTGAATAAACATGCACACCACAGCTGCTCAATGCAGACATTTCACATTCCTTTAATATCACAAATTGTTGTGAAGACACTTATCGAATGTAAATTGTTTCAATCGCTTTAGCATTTTCTGTGGATTACAGGAAGGAGCAAAGGAAAATGAGACTAGTTTTCCCTGCGAGCTCAGCTGCTTTGGCAGAATTCAGGCTATTTATTTAACTGCTTCTGTATTATTGTGCACATTTTCATAACCTTAGTGTGTCCCTGCCGTGGGTGTGATTTATAACCCAACCATTTAACAGTTTCCTTAGGATGAAAACCAGACAGGATGGAAAGCAATACAATAAAATGAGAGTTTGACATCCTGAAATGTGGGACGCACATTTGGTGTATGAATAAGATTATGGAAAAAAGTTTAGCATATTTTCTACTAAAAAGTGGCCTGATTTCTCCAAGTGCTGCAGTGCCTATGCTGTTTTTTTAATGAAAAGCCTAAGAAGTAGTGAATAATCCCATCATCTCTCTCACCCAGGTAAATGACAGTGTATTGACGGACATGCCGGAGGAAACAGCAGCGTCTAACATCTTGGCACCTTTCCCTTTTCAGCGCTCCATCAGTCTGTCAGCAGGTAGAAAGAGGAGGGGAATGGAGAAAGGGAAAAGAAAGGATATAATGCAAGGAAGACGAGAGAGAATGTTATTTGTTCAAATTTTTCATTTAGTTCCTTCATTTTGATAGGTATTTAAGTACATCAGACTATAATGTAACTTTTAATGAGTAAATTACATAAATGACATCCCTCAGAGAACAAAGATCCATTTGTTATAAACAATGCATTATAGGCTCAGCGCATCAAAACTGGTCAGTTCTCTACTGAAAATATACTGTGTAGCGGATTAAATAACAAAAATAACAACAATCCCTGTAGTATATGACAAAGAGAGCTTTCGCCCTCCTATTTAAAGTTCTAAATGTCAGGTACAAAATTGAGTATTTTATATGCCATGTGAGGTTAGCAGAGCTGAAAGGTCAACACTGATTCTGAAAGAAGTTGCATGTCTCAACAATGTCTCTAACTGTCAGTCAGAAGGAAGTAGAAGCAGCGCTGCCATGAAATTGCTTTGTGTGTGCTTTCACAGACCTCTGTTTTTAGTTTGAGTATCAAAGTATTGCAAACATTGCTAAATTTGAATCAAAGTTTAAGGGAATCTTTGATTTGGCAGAACTGTAGTCACAGAGGTTTGGCTGATGGATATACTTATCTCTCTCTCCTTGTTTAGATGGGAATCTGTACTCTGCTCTGTCAGCGGTTGCAGGACATACTGGCTCTATCCGTCGCACATATGGCTCCAAAAAGCAGCTGAAGACAGAGAATAAATGGTTACAGAGTGAGTTGACAGTTGTAATCTAAACTGCATTAGCAAAGATTTTCATGACGGACTGAACTAATGGATTCGCCTGTGCTATGTCAGCTTACTATTTAATCTGATACAGTAAAGTACTGTAAAACAGAGTTTGTTTGAAAATTCTGGAGTGACCCCCCCCCACACACACACACTAACATATATAAATAAAATATACTGATTTTTTAAAAATGTTTCAAAACAAGTCACTTATGTTCACCAAGGCTGGATTTATTTGATCAAAAATAGAGAAAAAAATACATAATATTGTGAAATAGTATTACAGTTATAAAAATAAGCGTTTCTATTTTAATATATATTTTATTCTTGTGGTGTCAAAGCTAACTTTTCAACCATTACTCCAGTCTTCAGTGTCACATTCTAATATGCCGATTTGCTGCTCAAGAAACATATCACATTATTATCAATGTTGAAAACTTTTGTGCTGCATATTTTTTTGGGAAACTGTGATCTTTGATGAAAAGAAAAGAACAGCATTTATTTGGAACATATTTTTTTGTGATCATTTAAAAAAAAGTCTTTACTGTCACTTTTGAGCAATTCAATGAATGAAAGACTTTTGAATGGTAGTATACGGAACATATATTACAATATATATTATAAATTATTCATTTGAATTTTACTAGTAGTCCAACCCCAGTCTTATGTCATTCAGGATGAGTGAATGTTGCATGATATGCCTTTCAAACACCAATATTGATAGCAGCATCACAGTGTTTACAGTTTTGGTGAACTCAACTCACAAATGACAAATTAAATCTCTGCATATTAACATGAGATAGGAGAAGACATTTTAAACATGAAAAAAAATCAAATTTCAACCAAGGTATAGGTTCAAAGGCTAATGCAAGTTTGAGTCTCTGAAAATAATACATTTGCTCTCACCATCTCCCTCAGATCCCCAGTTTGCAGGAGCCGCTGTGATACCACACACAGAGAAACTTAAAGATGAGATCTATTTCTTCTTCAGTGAGGTCAACAGTACAGCCAGTCTAGATGAAGAGCCATACAGGGCTCGCATAGGGCGAGTCTGCATGGTAACAATCTTTTATGCATTCTTACTTCATATACACTGCTGTGAGGACTCTAGGTTTCTGATAACCTTTGCATCTGTGGCTCAGGTTGATGAGGGAGGGCTTCAGAACGTGCTGCCGAACTCCTGGACTACGTTCCTGAAGGCACGTGTGATGTGTGGGAAAGCTGGAACTCCTGTACAGTACAACAACTTCAAGCAGGCTTTCGTTCTGTCCTCTCATCAACGCACTGGGTTGATATACGGCATCTTCTCCAATGTTTGGTAAGCAGATGGGAAGTCAAAAAGTGAGTAGGAAGACATTTGACATCAGGCTGCTGAAATAAAGCCTTCAGCAAGACTACATTATACACCGAAAATACATCCCTATAGATTTTTACTCAAAACATTGACAAAAACAATGTCAGTCGCGCTCACTTCAAGCTTACTTTTTTAAACGGTATATACAAATATTGTTACCATATCAATCAATATTACAATTTTTATTTTTTTAATTTATCAGTATTGGTTCGATCTTGGAAATTTAATGCATGTTTAGTGCACACTGATTTTTCACTATTGTTATATTAACACTGGTAAATGTAATCTTTAGCAGATCTCTGAATAATATAAATTTTTCATACTGTTCATTATAATGTTGGGGGTCCTAAATACACTTGTTTCATTTGAAACAACCACATTTTTATTTAGTTTTTTATTTAATTTAATAATTACATTTTTCTAAGTATAGTAAATAGTTATTGGTCAAAACATAAAAATAATTTTAATTTTATCTGTATTAACCAGAATCTTAATGTCTGTGCATTGCTGCTGTACTTGACTCATTACATTAATCTGTAACTGATTAAAGCAATAATTCACACAAGAATGAAAATTTGCTGAACATTTACTCACCCTCAGGCCATCCGAAATGTTTGTTGAATCGAAACATGTTTGGAGAAATTTAGCATTTCATCACTTGCTCACCAGAGAATCCTGTTAAAAACAAATCCATCATTCACTAATAATAAATAGTCCATAATTCAGAACAACTTGCAAAAATTGTCTTGAATTATTCCTTTAAGATCCATTTCCACATTTATGTCTTTCCACAGGAACACCACTGTAGTGTGTGCCTACTCCATTGAAGACATTGACCAAGCCTTTTCTACATCCAAACTGAAGGGCTACAACTCACCTCTGTCAATTCCCCGTCCTGGAACGGTACAACACTGAAACAGAAACCAGTCAAAGGCAAAATTATGTGCCAACACATAGTCATGTTGTTATACATACAGTATGATTACATTCTGAACATTTATTAAATTATCTATCTACAAAACAAAGGCACAGCCTGATTCTTAATTTTTATGGTTCACCTTTATCCAGTGTGCCTTTAGGAATAACACTCAGGCTCATACCCAAAAGATCCTGACTGTGATCAAGGATCACCCTGAGATTGAGGACATGATCATCCCGGTCGACGAAGCTCCTCTAGACCTGCCAGTTCAAGACCACTTCACACATATTGTGGCAGACACAGTCTTGGCTGTCAATGATGAACACTACAGCATCATTTATCTGGGCACAGGTACTGTGAATTGCAGAGAATTAGGCCTGTCGCAATAATCAATATATCAAATTATTGCGCAATATATGTACATGACCTCAATCATTTTTGGTGACGCAATATATAGCCCATTATATTTACTTAAAAATTAATGTCACTGTGTTTATTGTATTCCACTTGCGCCTGTGTATTTTGCAGCTTCTCGTACATAATGTGGTGTAGTCATGAGGTGCTAGTTCAAATTTTAAAAATGCTTCTACAAAAAAAGTTGAATCTGCAGATATGGCCTTGTTTAGGGATCTGTGCCTTTGTGCATACGGACATCTGACTGTAAGGTAGGGATTGTGTTTTTCAGCAATAGTGTGCACCCTTAATTTACAGAGAAAAGAAGGTCAGTGAAAAATCTGTAGATGGAGGTCTCTACAACAAAGACATTTAAAATAAATGTAAAATAATAATTTAAAATAAATACTTTTACATTGTTACAAAAATTGTATTTCAAATAAATGCTGTTCTTTTAAACGTTCTATTAATCAAAGAATCCTGAAAAAAAATTATAAAACAGTTTCCACAAAAATGTGTTAAGCAGCGCAATTGTTTCCGACAATGATGATAAAAATAATAATAACTAAAAGTTTGTCATGCAAACTTTAAGTTGGCTTGAGAAAGCCAGACCAGAAAGTTTGAAAATGATAGATAGATAGATAGATAGATAGATAGATAGATAGATAGATAGATAGATAGATAGATAGATGCTAAGGACCTCAGAGTGGTTGCTAGGGTATTCTAGGTGGTTGGTAGGGTACTCGGAGTGGTTGCTATGACGGTTGCTAGGATAACTGGGGTGGTTGCTAGGTTGTAGCTATGTGGTTGCTAAGGTACCCGGGTCGGTTGCTTGGGTGTTGCTATGCGGTTGCTAGGGTGCCCGGTTCGGTTGCAAGGGTGTTGTTATGTGGTTGCTAAGGTACCCGGTTCGGTTGCTAGGGAGTTGCTATGTGGTTGCTAGGGTACCCGGGGTGGTTGCTAGGGTACTTGGGAGGTGTTGCTATGCGGTTGCTAAGGTACTCAGGGTGGTTGCTTGGGTGTTACTAAGCGGTTGCTATGGTACCCGGGGTGGCTGCTAGGGTGTTGCTGTACGGTTGCTAGGGTGCCCGGTTCGGTTGCAAGGATGTTGTTATGTGGTTGCTAAGGTACCCGGTTCGGTTGCTAGGGTGTTGCTATGTGGTTATGACCTCAATCATTTTTGGTGACGCAATATATAGCCCATTATATTTACTTAAAAATTAATGTCACTGTGTTTATTGTATTCCACTTGCGCCTGTGTATTTTGCAGCTTCTCGTACATAATGTGGTGTAGTCATGAGGTGCTAGTTCAAATTTTAAAAATGCTTCTACAAAAAAAGTTGAATCTGCAGATATGGCCTTGTTTAGGGATCTGTGCCTTTGTGCATACGGACATCTGACTGTAAGGTAGGGATTGTGTTTTTCAGCAATAGTGTGCACCCTTAATTTACAGAGAAAAGAAGGTCAGTGAAAAATCTGTAGATGGAAAAAATCTCCATACAAGTTCTTTTTTTTGTACTAGCTACTTTGCACTTTTTGTTAGAAAATGTTTATGCCCGGTTCGGTTGCAAGGATGTTGTTATGTGGTTGCTAAGGTACCCGGTTCGGTTGCTAGGGTGTTGCTATGTGGTTGGTAGGGTACCTGGGGTGGTTGCTTGGGTGTTACTAAGCGGTTGCTATGGTACCTGGGGTGGCTGCTAGGGTGTTGCTATGTGGTTGCTAGGGTACCCGAGGTGGTTGCTAGGGTACTTGGGAGGTGTTGCTATGCGGTTGCTAAGGTACTCAGGGTGGTTGCTTGGGTCTTACTAAGCAAGGTAGGGATTGTGTTTTTCAGCAATAGTGTGCACCCTTAATTTACAGAGAAAAGAAGGTCAGTGAAAAATCTGTAGATGGAAAAAATCTCCATACAAGTTCTTTTTTTTGTACTAGCTACTTTGCACTTTTTGTTAGAAAATGTTTATTTACTATTTATTCAAGTTTTTTAAGGTATATAATATTTTGATACTTAATTTCCATGATCTAAATATTCTTAAAAATTAAAAGTTTGTTGTCATTTGGAAGTGTGTAGGCCTTCTTACATTATTATGCTGTTACATTATGATTAAATATTCAGTGGCATAAAATAGTCTTTAAAATGACAATAATATCGCTTATCGCAATTACTTCTGGGGCAATATATCGCACAACAAAAAGTTGTTATCCTGACAGGCCTACAGAGAATTGCTTTTAAATAGCACTAAAATAGTGTATTTTTGCAAGCTACACCAGTATTGGAATTTTGATTGACAGACAAATATCTGATTTTAATATTCTATTCTATTTTGCCTAAATAAATAAAAATAAAACATGACAAACTAAAATCATCAGTTTTAAATGCTACAAGGGAATTTAGGCATCACAATACAGTATATGAATGCATAGAAAATGGATATTCGTTTTAAGATTTGCTAAAGATTACATTTAACATTGTTATTAAATTATTAGTATTTTTGAAAATTAATATGTGTTAGATGCAGCAAAGGTAATCTAAATATAAAAATAGAGGAAATGCACAGAACTATTAAATATCCATTATTATATATTATATGGATATAATGGATTATATTATATATTATACTGAGTAATACGCACCCTGGCCCAAGGAAGGTATCCAGTGGCGGATGAAGGTCTCTTGCGTGTTCGGTCTTTTCAGCGCGCAGAGTTATTCAATTTAGGTTTAACTCAATCTGACTCCATTTTAGTATCTGAATTCTAATTTAGGTTGAAAGGCAAATTGTTTTTTTGTCGGTCTCTGATTATTCTTACATTCGATTATTCTAATTAACTCTTTACTTTGTATTTTATTCGTTCATTAGGAATCTATGTCGTTTTTAGGATGCCTCACGCCGGCCACTATGTGTGGTCTCCACGATCACAAACTTGCCAGTTTGATCCTTATTCAGAGGTTTATGGCTAATACTATTTAATATACTTTAAATAGTAGGTTTGTTTAGCCCCCTACAGTTACCCATGTAATGCTCAGACATTAATCAGCGGTTCTTCTAGACCCTTAGTCTAGACCCCGAGACAACTGACAGCTTCGTACAACTTAATTAATACTCAAAATATTAATCAGCGGTTCTTCTAGACCCTTAGTCTAGACCCCAATAGTTATTATAACTACGTACAACTTAATTAACACTTCAAATATTAATCAGCGGTTCTTCTAGACCCTTAGTCTTACTCAGGGTGGTTGCTTGGGTGTTACTAAGCGGTTGCTATGGTACCCGGGGTGGCTGCTAGGGTGTTGCTGTACGGTTGCTAGGGTGCCCGGTTCGGTTGCAAGGATGTTGTTATGTGGTTGCTAAGGTACCCGGTTCGGTTGCTAGGGTGTTGCTATGTGGTTGGTAGGGTACCTGGGGTGGTTGCTTGGGTGTTACTAAGCGGTTGCTATGGTACCTGGGGTGGCTGCTAGGGTGTTGCTATGTGGTTGCTAGGGTACCCGAGGTGGTTGCTAGGGTACTTGGGAGGTGTTGCTATGCGGTTGCTAAGGTACTCAGGGTGGTTGCTTGGGTCTTACTAAGCGGTTGCTATGGTACCCGGGGTGGCTGCTAGGGTGTTGCTGTACGGTTGCTAGGGTACCCAGAGTGGTTGCTAAGGTGTTTCTATGCGGTTGCTAGGGTACTCAGGGTGGTTGCTAGGGTGTTACTAGCATGTTGGTAACGTGATTAGCAAGTCACTAGCATGTTTCTAACATGATTAGCAAGTCACTAGCATGTTGTTAGCATGTTTCTAGCATGATTAGCAAGTTACTAACATGTTGTTAGCATTATTAACAAGTTACTAGCATTTTGTTAGCATTTTATTAGCATGATTAACAAGTTACTAGCATGTTGTTAGCATGATTAGTACGTTACTAGCATGTTATTAACATGATTATCAAGTTACTAGCATGTTGCTAGCATGATTATAGCATGAGTAGCATGTTACTAGCATGATTAGCACGTGACTAGCATGGTGTTAGCATTTTTTAGCATTGATTAGCAAGTTACTAGCACGTTTCTAGTATGATTACCATGTTACTAGCATGTTGTTAGCATGATTAGCAAGTTACTAGCATTTTGTTAGCATGTTTCTAGCATAATTAGCAAGTTACTAGCATGTTGTTAACATGTTTCAATGCTAATCCAGCTAAAACCAGTTGATTCAGTAAAAAAACAGCTAACACCAGCCTGACCTGCTAAAAAAGTGGCCAAAACCAGCTTGGGAGACCATCCAAAGCAGCCAATCAGCATAGGCTGGTTTTAGCTGTTTTTTCAGTAGGGAGTTGTTAAGCTTTGCTATAGCAATAGACAGCTTAAAAATGAAAGTCTATGGGATTTTAGGTGGATTTGATAGTCTGGTTTATGAAAACCATAAGCCGAATCAGTTAGAAAAGATATAGCAACCTGAGTCAGACCAATTTGAAGGTCTGACCCGAGTTTGGTGGTTGTAGCTTTAAAAGTCTAGGAGGAGATACACTTTAAAATTTGGTATATGAAGAAGAAGAAGAAGAAGAAGTTTAAATAGGATTTCAGTAAGTTGGCTTTCTCAAGCCAACTTAATAAATGCAATAATAATAATAATAAAGTTTCTTGAGCATTAAATCAGCATATTAGATCATATGACACTAAAGACTGAAATAATAGCTTCTGAAAATTCAGCTTTGCCATCACAGGAATAAATTACAATTAAAATATGTTAATTTAGAACATGGTTATTTTAAAGGGGTCATATGATGCGATTTCAAGTTTTCCTTTCTCTTTGGAGTGTTATAAGCTGTTCGTGAATAGACAAGATCCCTAAAGTTGCAAAGACTAAAGTCTCAAACCCAAAGAGATATTATTTATAAAAGTTAAGACTCGACCACGCCCTCCTAAAACGGCTTGTTCCAACATGCCCCACATGTCTACGTCACAGTGTGGGAAGATTTGCATAACACCGCCCAAATGTTCACGCAAAGAAAGAAGGTGTAACTTTGATTCTGGTTGTAGTATTGTTGCCGCCGCCGCCATGTAGTGGAGATGCTGTGTGTTTCGTTGTGAAAGTGAAACTACTTTGTTTGGCCTTACAAAAGAGGACACAACTAGAAATCAGTGGTTAAGTTGTATTTACAACACTGTTCCAGAACAGTTCAACCCAAATATTCAGATGTGTGCAGCGCATTTTACGGAGGACGGTTTCCTGATCCTGGGAGAGTAGCCTACAATGCAAATGGCTCGTTTGTAATGGGTTTTATTGGTTTTGTGTCGTAGCGCCGGGACACGGCATCACAGTATGGTAAGGGGCGTAAGATTTCCATCACACGCTTGAGGCATTCGATCAATCACAACGCCCTGAATAGCTGGCCAATCAGCGTACACTTCGCTTTTCAGACTGATGAGCTTTGTAAAAATGTACGCGTTTCAGAAAGGCGGGGCATAGAGGAGGAACAAAAATGTTCAGTATGTGGAACATAAAGTGTTTTTTTAACCTTAAACCGCATAAACACATTGCATTACACCAATTACACAAAATAATGTTATTTTTAGCAACGTCATATGACCTCTTTAAAAAGTAAAATTAATTTAAATAATATTACTGTTTTTACTGTATTTTTAGTCAAATTAATACAGTCTCAGTGAGCATAAGAGACTTCTTCCAAAAAATCTTATTGATCCCCAAATTTTTAACAGTAGTGTATATATAAAATTAAAGTATTTTTATTCAAAATGACTTAATCACACAAAGATATTTCCTGTCATCCTGGGCTACAGCTCCAAAGGCACGTAGCACCATTCCCAAACAGGTTTTAGTGGATAAAGATGGACCTGTCCTGCTACCGTGCCCCGTGCGCTCCTACCATGCCACTTACCGCTGGGAGAAAGACAACTGCATCAAGCAATATCCTTGCACCATCTCCGGCTCCTCCTGTGTGCTGGCGCCCACCCCTGACCTGCCTCTGAAGGAGGGCGTGTTCCGCTGCATGGTGGAGGAGAGCGGCCTGCAGCAAGAGGTGGTGTCCTACAAGCTGGTGTTCAACAGTGGGCCCCTCTCCACCTCGCTAGCCTCCACCCTGGGGTCGACTCTGCTGCTGGCTGCCACGGCACACTGGCTCCTGTAGATCCAATGAATCCTGGGGGCTCAAAAGGAAACAAGTTTAATACTAAGGTCAGCAGAGCATGAGTACCTAGGCCGGTCCGACTAAACCCCAGGGGAGCAGCTGGTCTCTGTATAAACTGTGTTTCTTGTTTCTTATTCAGAGCAATCACAAGTTTATTCTTTTCTTTAAAGGGCCGAGAAAATGCCTGAAATCATCTCATACCAAACTTCAGTGTTATGTAAAACTTATGTAAGTGAACTATTTCATGCCATCAGCCTGAAAGCATTTAGACTTATATACGGTATATTCAATATCTAATACATGAGATTTGTACTGCATTATACATTGCTTGCAAAATGTTAGAGCCATCATTCAGATGTTTCAGAGGACTGCTTTGCTAACTACACTCAGACATGGAATCCAGATTAGTTCTTGGTTAATTTTCTTAGCAACACCACTTTTCAGAAAGGTTCAGTTACATAAGTTAAGAATAGGGTATCATGAACTAACTATGAAGAATTTTTACAGCATTTATCAACCAGGGTTAATGTATTATTATTTAATATTCTATTATTCATTGTCAATTCATGTTTGTTCACAATACATTAACTAGACAGACTGCACACTATATAAAGGTGAAAAAAGTAAAACAACATTTCTTAATTTAAACAACTTGAGATGCTAAAATGCATTAGTGTATGCAGAAATTAAAATTGTATTCATTTATGCGGTTCATTTTTAGTTCATGTTACCTAATGATTTAACCAAATTGAACCTTATTTTAAAGTGTTACTCTTTCGTTGGTATGTAGAATTGCTACAGATGTGTTAGATGTGCGAGTACATGCTGAAACATGAATATATTGTTACAAATCCTTCGACTTTTCCATTGTGTGCCATTAGGACATTTCTGAAGCCTTAAAACAAGGATGAGTCCCTTTTAAGCTTTAAGGGTCACATCCTAAGCACAACTTGCAAACTGAGCAGAACCTGCAGAATCTGCTGGCTTTGTCTTTCCATTGAGTCAATCCGACCTGACGCAGAATGTTATTTCAACATGATTTCAGGAGTACATACAGCTGACATACAGTTTGCGCCTGTTTGGCAAGTTTGAAATCACTCACCAACCACATTTAGAATTGTGAACTGAAAAACAAATCCATACAAAACTGACACAGATTCGACTGCTTTTGCTCAGTGGATGGACAGGAAGAATAACCAGAATTCATAATAACCAGATTTTACAGTTTATCTCAGTACATCACTGTGTTTAACAAACAGACATAAACACTCTTGCATCCTTGATGCCTGTACTTTTCATGCTCATGAAATACATTTTTACATTTCGCGGTCAATAAGCTTCAGTACATGTAACATGGAGTTGCATTTTGTAGTCGCAGTGTACAGAGGCTTAATTATGCTGTAGTTTTAATTGTAATGCTCTGCTTATGCTGTTCTTCACCATTGCTGCCTATGGGAATAGGAAGTATTCCTGATGGCTCTAAACAGTCATCCTGCACTAAGGTGCTCAGAGTGTAAATCTGTCTGTATTTGACTTCATAACATTTAATTTGATCATGACTTCAGCCAATCAAACTTTTGGGTGGTTATCTTATACACATTACAAAAAGGAACAAATAAAAACGCTCATACAAGAACATTCTAGCACACTTCTAATCATCATCTGCACCTCTAACACACACCCCACCACTATTTCTGTTTTTGTCCCTCTTTCTCACTCAGAGCAACTGACCCCAAATGCCAATTTTGTCTTTAACCTTGTTCTTTCCTCACTATATTTTGGGAGCAGGACAATGGTGTAATGAAGGAATTGATCACTAATTAACCAGAAGTGCATTGTGTTTTCAGATGATGGATGTTGTGACTTTGTTTTTGTATTTAGTTATGTAGTTTTGTCTTGTGTCGCTCTGTTTCTTGCTCTGCTGTTGACATAATCTGCTAATCCTAAACTAAAAGGAGCCGGGGTTTTTTTTTTTTACCTCAGTTTGAATCTCTGGGTTGACGTTTGGGCAAACCTAAGTGTCATAAATGAAAGCCATGTAAATAGTCCAGGGACTGACTGCAGTGTTGCTTTACACATTAGTGCATTAGCTATATATGCTAGTGTGTGCTAACCTTCTGTTTGCATGCATGCTGAATGCCACAGCACTGTCACCCTCTCTGTGTACTCGTACCTCTGTCTCTTGGCCTAATGTGCTACACTGCACTAAATGAAGGAACGTTGTAGTGCCAAACCAATGTTGTGTCATTTTCGTCAAAGAGCTTTTCTAACTTTTCCACTGTGCTTCGAAGCCAAACGTTGACCTTTCTTGACACACATATAGCAGTATCTAGATATACACACACGACACACACACACACTCTAAAATACTTCTGGCAGTGTAAGTGACACAGGGCCCTTCAATGTAGATGACACAAGGTAACAACTGTTACATGTTATGTTTTAAAATATTTTTCTTTTACTCTGTAACTGCTGTTTAAGGCCATTGTGTTTTTATTGTCTGTCTGTCATTTGCTATGCCTTGTGTTTTTTCGCCCGAGACTTGTGGCAGGGAGTGTTTTCTCAAGTAGGGACGCTCAGCACGGTTTACTGCTCAAAAGCATCTTGCAGTTGTGTAAGCTTGCACTTAATAAATCATATTTATAACTGGTTACCAAAAGTCATAGCAATTTTTTTCTAAAGGGATTGAAGACATTGTAAAATACAGAAACATATAATTATACATTAAATGTTTCCCTGAAAATGTGCATTAAAATAAATAAAAAAATCTACTGTATTTGTTTTTTATTGTTTAGCAATATTGATTTATTATGTTTTTACTATTTTACCATGTACATGGTACAGAATGATGTTGTGCAATTTGTGGTAAATTGTTGTTTTTCACATCAATATAACATGTTCAAACATTAGGGAACATGCAAAAAAAATAAAATACACCAATGATCTGTAAAAGGGTACATTAAAACAATCAAAAAGCTGTAATATGGCACAAAACATTGCTATTACACAATGTAGAAACACTCCAATGAGGGAATTTCCTTGGCAATAGGCATTCAACATGTGGTCACATGTTAATTTAGCAGATGTCTTTGGCAAAGGCAAATAGTGCACTAATTGTAATGACTTCTAGAACACCCTGAGGGTGTGCAGGGCTCTGGATCAACCCTGCAATCTTTGTGTTAGCAGCCCAGATCTTTAAAGGACCAGTTCACCCAAAATGAAATGTTTGCCATAATTTATTAAGGAATAGTTCAATGAAAAGTTAAATCTGTTACACATTAAATGGTTATATTTACACTTCTTTCTTCTTTAAAACACACACACACACACACACACACACACACAAAAGATATTGTGAAGAAAGTTAACTTCCATTGTATGAACCAAAATATATATGTTCCACAGAAAGAAAGAAAAAGAAGTTACACTTTTTTTGAATAACATGAGTGAGTAAATTATGACAGAATTTTCAGTTTTGGGTGGACTACCCTTTAAATCTCACGTTGTTCCAAACATATGCCTGTTGAGAGATGCCGAGAGAAGAACCAAACTTAAGCAAAACACTGTAAATCCCACTATTTCTTAAATTGAATTGGTTACTAAGTTGTCTACTTCAAACAATTTACACATAAGCTAAAATGTTTGTTTGCAAAAATGTTTAAACACAATATGATAAAGTAATCTGAATCACAGTTAATTCACTATATTCTATAATTCACTATATCACTATATTTTAATTCACTATATTCTAAAAATCAGGTTGCACTTGAAGGGACATATCTTCTTAAACTTAAAGGGATAGCTTACAGAAAAATGGGAATTCTGTCATCATTTCACCTTCATGTCATTGAATGACTTCTTTCATTGGTGAAACATAAAAGTAGATATTTTGAGAAATGTCATACTTTTTCATACAATGGAAGTCAATGGCAACCAAAGCTTTTTGGTCATTTACCATTCTTCAAAATATCTTATTTTGTGTTACACCAGAAGAAGAAAATCATACAGGTTTGGAACGACATGAGGGTGAGTAAATGATGGACAGAATATCCATTGTTGTAGGCCTACCGCTTTAATGAGATTTTTTCCCAGAACGGCCGTTTCTGTTTCACTCACCAGCCACCACAGCGAACCATTAACGGGGCGGAACATCGCCGCTTGCAGTTTTAGGACAGACAGCACCGCCAGACACAGACTGAAGGAAGGAGCTCAGTGAACGCAGATACGATGTGCTCGAACGTCCCCTGAACATTTATCATATCTAAAGGGACCACTGGAACGCCTGGACCAACTTTATAAGTCATCTTGCTAAGTTTGAAAACTCGAAACTTTTTCCAGTTCGACAGAGGTGAGCATTAATTTGTCTTATTATAAAAAGAAATACGCTATGCTATATGTTTTCTTCCCACAAGGATTATTCATTAATCATTAAAACAGAACGATGAAAATCTATATACCTGCCATGTGTACATTTAGCCTAGCTACCGACTTAAACCATTGTGGTCCGTATGTAACTAAACTAAAAATCCACCTGTGTTAGTATTAGCTGCCAGTGAACGTTTGTTTGTCTTTAAAAGTTTATCAAATTAGTCAAACTTTAAAGCGTAGACTGGTGTACGGAAGCAACTTTATAAACACCGGTTTATCCCTCCTCGTCGATTTTCTCCCTCCTGCTAATTTTTATTGCCACAATATTTATTCTAGGGTCAGTGCGATATAACCTAACTTTACCCTACCAAACGCTGAACATAATTTCCGCGAGCTTCACATCCCCAAATACCTCCAAATACTTGTTGACTGCTGAAGGACTCTTGCGCGCCTCAGATGTGCTTTTTCCAGGTCAAACTACAATTCTCGGTCAAACACACTTTGTGTACAATATAGCTGAGAAGGGGAGAGTGGGGACGGTTGCAACCATTTTTGCATTTCCTTAATTTTCTCAGAGATGTTTTGTATTGGAAAGCCACGTTTTATACATAAAAGCCACCTCTGTCAGCAACCCACCAACACTGATGTAACATGTTTACTGTAGCCTACATATGAAAATATACATACACGTTATACTTGAATAGACAAAATCAAATGTTGCAACTGACTCATAACAGGGGTCATAAGTTAAACTGCCATTACGTTAAATTGGCTGTATAAAAACAAAGAATAGTAAATAATAAAAAAAGAAAATTCAAGTAACAACAATGTTTTGGTTAATTATTAAAATTCATTTGAACTACAAAATATTAACTGAATCAAAATCAAGACACTACAATTTAATAATAGCCTATGTCTGTTAAAGTTTACTGAACTGGGGCCAGTTGCATAAACATAGCCACTATATTAAAGGGGTCATTTGATGCTGCTAAAAAGAACATTATTTTGTGTATTTGGTGTAACGAAATGTGTTTATGCGGTTTACGGTTCAAAAAACACATTATTTTCCACATACTGTACATTATTGTTTCTCCTCTATGCCCATGCAAATCTTCCCACATAGCGACGTAGACATGTGGGGGCGTGTTAGAACAAGCCGTTTTAGCTAGGCGTGGCTGACTCTTAACTTTTATAAAGATTATATCTTTGGATTTGAGACTTTAGTCTTTGCAACTTTACAGATCTTCTTTATGCACCAAGAGCTTGTAACACTCCAAAGAGAAAGGAAAAATTTAAATCGCATCATATGACCCCTTTAAGACTGTGTCTTAAGAACTAGTTTGACTCACAAGCAGTTAACCAAGTGGAAATCAGTCTTACAAATCTACCATTTTATGAAACTGACTTTAGTGTGTGTGTGTGTGTGTGTGTGCGTGCATGTGATGTATGTGTGTGACAAAGAGAGAGTGAGAGAGAAGGAAATTAGTCCACATTAGACTCAAACTGATTTTTGATTATAAAAAAAATTACTTTTTTTTTTACCATGAAAATTGTATATTTGAAAATTGTCATCATTCTTCCAGAAAGAATGAAGGGCTAATTGAGCATGTACAGTTTGAATATCATCTCTGTAGCTCATTCCTGATTGACGAAAAAAAGCCATGTGGCAACTGCCCCTTGTTGCAACCATCCTCACTCTCCCCTACAGAAAACAGAAACATTTTAGGAAAAAAGAAGGGGAAAAAAAGAAAATCCTGCTTTGCCGATGAAACGTTGAATCACTTAATGGAACTCGGCAGGGAACTTTTTTGGGGGGGGCAAGGAACTAAAGACAATAATGAAGGGTCTGTTCTAGAGGGCAGAGCTACTTTAAGTTACTTCACTTAAAGCGGACAAAGAGCACTTAATAATAATAAGACCACATTAAAGCATTTTGGAATGTTTTCATGAAGACTTTGTATTTGTTATTTTTACAGTAAAAACACAAATAAGATGTACTAAGTTATTGTGCAGATCTTAAACAATGGCAAGATATGAGACCTATAATATATTATAACTATGATAAATATAATCCATTGTATCTTAAATGGATGCAATGTGTTCATTGTGTGTTATAAATCATCATACACTTAACCACAAATAAGTATTATAATACATTAAAACTGTTCTTATGCTTATTTACAGTATAAGATGATGCAACATATTATAAGGTTTCTTATAATGCATTATTCATTCCTTACAATGCTTTAAGAATAACCTTATAATGTATTATAAATACAGGCTTCATAGAAAGTGTTACCGTCAATCTTTCTATCAAAATCTTCCACTTCACTGAAATAGTTATCAGAGAACAATCACTGTTGGGTTAACAGAAATATCAGCAACAAAAGGTGCACTGGCATTAATTCATATTCTACTCTGACCTGTAATGATAATCCGGACCAGAAAGGAAGACCTGCTCAGCCTCCTGCAATGAGAAATTCCGGAGGACAGCCAGGGCATATATGATGGCCTATGAAAAAAATGTTAATTTAAGTATACTATTACAGCACTACTGAACAGCAAGCCATTATACATTGGTCCATACATGAGTAGCACCAGCATGCAGTTTATACAGTAGATTTTGTAAGTGCAGGAGCAGGACACTCACAAACACATTACATGGTCCGGCATACATTTTCACACTAATACAGTAAGCTACAGCTAAATCTGACACATCTCACATCAACATGTTTTTATTATCTTTTATGTTTTAATTAATGTGCTAGCTAGATTTACTTATTGTAGTCATTATGTCAACAAGGTTTAGCTTAATTAAATCATGGCCACGAATTAAGAACATCGTAATAATCAATAAAACTAGCAATCGGGAATTCATTATTATTTCTTAGCAGTTCTCACGTTAACTACGTAAACTTTGCATCGTTTTAAGGTTATAAAATAAAACTTCATTGAAAATAGGTTTAAAAAAAATCGGAAAAAGTTACTCACTCTGATTACTGTCCATGTCGTCCATCTTTAGTGATCCAATTCGGTAGGTGGCGCTGTTACAAAAGAATAGGGTTCTAGAACTGCTGAAACTGCATCCTCCGGTTGTGCAGGAACGTACTATTGATTTTATCTGCATTATATGTTCTGTAAAAAAAAAATTCATATCGGTCAGCCTCCAGGCAGTTGTGCACATTAAACCAACTAAAGCCAATCAGTCCTGTAAAATAACATCTGATAGGCGTTCAGCAGACTGTAAAGGTCTACGGCTGGACCATGTGCCTATAACAAATCTGACTGCTTCTCTGGAAGAGCTCGACCTTTCTTTCAATACCATACAGGTCATCAGCAAACAAGATCTGTTCAAACTTAGTCATCTGCGAGTCCTCATGCTTAATTTCAACAACATCTCTCTAATTGTGGATGATGCCTTTCATGGAAACATTTTTTTGGAGAATCTAAACTTATTCAATAACTCTCTGACAGAAATTCCATTCAAAGCTCTTAAGCCGCTCACAAATTTAAAGGTTTTGGAAATGTCCAATAATTTGTACACACAAGCATCTTTGGATGCTTCTTTTTTGAATTTCACAAAGTTAAAAGTGCTGTCCATTGGTGGATCGCTGGTCAATAGTTTGGGAAGCCATGACATTTATGTGTTGAAGAACATCTCATTGGACAAGTTTGCTATTAAAACTGGTACTGGTTTTAAAAGTTATGAACCTGGGTATTTCAGCAACCTCGACACAAAAAACTTGTGGTTCGATATAGCTTTTGACAAAAAACCAGATATGCTTCCTATGATATTGAAAGATCTGGCAAACAAGACTTTTGATGTGCTACGTTTCCGAAACCTTTTTGAATTTCAGTACTATACTGGTAAACAAGATATTTTTAGTGGCCTGCAGTATGTAAAGACTCAACTCCTAACCTTCTATCGAGGTAAATTCAATGAGGAAGTTATGAGAATGGCTCTGGTAAATTTGGAAATCAGTTCAATCAAAGGCCTGGAATTGCTGCTCATCGACTTTGCTCGTTCACAGAACAGAACACAGGGATCCAGTGTAACAAACTTGACCTTGGAAAAGCTGGTGCTCTCGTAAGTTATATTGACTACTATATTTTTCAATGTTGATTTTTTTTAAATGCTTAAATATTTATCCTCATGTTACTGTTTTTTAATGAATGCAATAAAAAAAAAACACATGTATATATCAGGAACTGAAAACCAGATCCTTGTTAGAATCCTTCCATTTTCCCCAAAAACGGGTTTAAATGACATTTGTTGCTTTTACCATTACATTGTATTAAGATACTCGATTACACTTTATTTTAAGGTGTCCTTGTTACAGTGTAATTATTCATTTAAGTACTGAGTAATATTAATTAACTACATGTACTTACTATATATGGTTAGGATTATTGTTTGGCTTAGTGTTACTTGCATGTAGATATGATTAATGTATTGTTATTATAAAAGTACATGTAACGTGTTACAAAGACACCTTAAAATAAAGTATTGCCAGATACTCTACTAATATACTAAGTTGTTTTTTTGTGTGACTCAGATACTTGTAGCTTACAACAAACTGAGAGACTTAAATCAGTGAAGTCACTGACTCGTTGTTCATACGATAAAGTGTAGCTAAAGATATACATTGTTGTATTTATCAGTGGCATTTATTAAAAATAAATTAATGAATCAGAATCAGAATAAGCTTTATTGCCAGGTATGTTTTCACATACAAGGAATTTGTTTTCGTGACAGAAGCTTCCACAGTGTAACAGAATGACAGTGACAGAACAAAAAACACAGATAATAAAAAATTAAAAATAGAACAAGTAAATAAGGAATAAAAATATATAAATCGACAATTGTATGTGCAGGTATATTACAATAGACAGTTTTGTATGTACAGGTACTGAATATTATGTGCAAATTTTAGGTGTAGACTGAGTATGAGTGTTAGATAAATAAGTGTATGAGTGAATAAATAGTGTGTGTTCCACAGTTATTGTTAAGTGTTCATGAGATGGATGGCCTGAGGGAAGAATTGTCTTTTCAAACCTGCAGTAGTTATGTGTTACCACATATTTCCTGGTGTAATATATAGTTTTACAAGTTGTAAAAACACTCTTTTTGCAAGAAATGTTTTAAATGTATTTATTATTGAAATTATCTCATCATTTGGCAGTGGAATTGCATTTTTTATTTATTTTACTTACATATTATATGTTTTATTTATTATTATATTATTCCCACAACCGTCAAGATGACTAAACAAACAAACAAACACAAACAGCATCCTAACACGTTTCACGTCATTAAAAAGCAGGTCATATGGGTTTTTGAAAAATATCTCTTTTGCAGTTTATAACGTAGCTATCCTTAAATGAAAACAATCTGCAAAGTTGTTCATCACAAAGTGCATGATAAATAAAGATATTGTCTCTCAAAAGAGAGAGTCGTTTCTGAATGGCCTTAAGAGTCGTCATATTTTCAAATCTTTTGCCTGTTACCGGTATACATCACTGGGTAACACATTTGCATAATCCCCGCCTGCCCACGAAATACGAACAGTCTGTCCTGCTTACTGAAGTAGTTCTGATAATTCGCTGTGAACCCACTATTTCCTAAGAATGTGCGATTAATGTAGACTGACGTTATTACTTCGTTTAATAATAAAGAATGTAGTGTAGCACACAGACTTTATAATCATTGTGAAATTGCTGTTTATTTTGCTGCACCGGCAGTTATAAGGTTAATGTAGGAGAGACGAGCGAGTTAGTTTGGCTGGTGCGCCTGTGATACAGCTGTTCTGATTAAACGTTAAGACAGAGCGTCTTTTGTCTGGCGTTCTTCAAACATTACAGTAGACATATTTTGGTTTACAAACTGTATTGTTTCATCAGTTAGTCATGTTAGCACTCGGCTAACGTATCCACCATTATTGTTTTAAGTGTTCACAGTTTAGCAGCTAAACTTTAGCTGTGGGCACGATCTAAAATACAAGTGTTCTTGTATTTTATGACATTATTATACGAATGGATTGGAGCACTATATTATTGTTTTATGTAAAGGTGCTTTGTCAATGGTAGCACTGGCTAACTTGCTCAAGGACTCCTCTCTGTGCCAATCACA